ATTAAGAAAACTTTCTGCCTGCAGGCTTGGCTGGTCTCTGTGAAACCACAGAGCAGGTGGCTCAGCAACCTAAGAAATCACCCAGGTTCTCAGAAAGGGGTAGTCCTGGATTGAGAATTATGACGAGACAGGTCTGAAGATTTCCAGGTGTGCCAGGGGATGAGCAAGAAGAGGGGCCAGCCTACAGTCACGTAGCTCACCAAGCTTTCCTGAAACATGCACACACAAAGCTCTTTGACCTCCTAAGTAGGGACTTTTTCTTTGTCCAACCCTACTGTCTGGTTTTAGACACACAAAGAGCCAAGTTGTAGCCAGTGGCATGAGGAATCACATTTCTCTTTAAACATTACAGCCAATTTTGTGGCTCTTCAAGTTTCTCTTTTGTCTATCAGTTAGTAATTATACCTTCTAAAAAGGTACAAAATTTATTCGTTCATTATTTCAATAAAAAAATTCCAATAAAAATCTCTCTCATCCAGCATCTTTTCACAATTCCTAATTTATTGCACTCAGTTACCTATCTCATTACTTCTGCTAGATAGTGATGCATAGACCTGGCATGTCACTAGGTTCAAAAACCCCAGTTGAGCTCAGGTTTCACTCTCATGACTTACTTACATAGCAGGTGGGCACAGGTTTGAGGGACATCAAATTTCCAAACATCCATAGAATACATGTAGAGGTACTGCTCTCAGAATCTACCCTGAAGCAACATACCTGGAGTCTGTGGTGCCCTCATAAGGAGGGAAACTCAGTCCCGGCTTCAATGTTACACCAGGACTCCTAGCCTCTCTCCGTCGTTCCTTTCTATACATCCCCATTATCATTTCTTGTTGTTGCCTATGACCTAATGGCCTGACTCACTGAGAGGCTTTCTTTCCCAGGAAGCCTAACTGGTGAATCCTCATTTCTGACTCAGTGAACCTACAGCTGGATGACATATGTCTTAGTTAATTTTGTATTGCTGTGAAGAGATTCCATGATCAAGACAACTTATAAAAGAAAGCATTTTATTGGGGGCTTAATTACAGTTTCAGAGGGTAAATCCATGACCATTGTGGCAGGGAGCATGGGAACAGACTGGCAGGTAGGCAGGCGGAGTTGAGCTTACATATTCAGACAACACATCAGGCAGAGAGAGAGAGAGAGAGAGGTAACTGGGAATGGCATGGGCTTTTGAAACCTCAGAGTCTACACTCAGTGACATATCCTCCTCCAATAAGGCCATAGGTCCTACAACAAAGCATACCTCCTAACCTTTCCTAAACAGTTCCATTAATGGGGGACCAAGCCTTCAAATATATGAGCCTATGGGAGGGGGCATTCTCATTCAAATCACCATCACGGAAGAGTCTTTTCATTGTCAGCATACTCAGTACTGCTGAGACTCCAGGCAGTTACTATTGGTGCCTAACTCCCCCAAACAGCATCCCCAGCTGGGTGACTGCAAAGAGTCAAAGTCACCTAAGAATAAAGTGCAAATGGGATGAGGAATTAGGTTCCACTGCTCTACAGAGACGCTTACCTGCCCTAACCAACCTCTCTGGTGATCTCGTCTCAGAACACCGTGGGGAAAGACTCCGTATCAACAAGTCACCCTGAACAGATCTTCAACACGAGGGTCCTTAAGAAATAACAATCCATCGAGGGCAAACCGATCTCGTGGGGCATGGGCAAGACTTCATTTGGGGGTGAGGGTAGGTGAGGGAAGGAAGAGAAACTAGAGAAAGGGAAGAGAGTTTGGGACACGTGTTTTCTTAACTTTAAAAAGTTCTGCAAAGAATACTTCCTTTCTGAACAGAGGCTATGGCAGCGGCACTTCTCTGGACCAAGCCCTAACTCCGCCCCTCTGAATCGCATCCCTAGAGAAAGTCCCACCACTCAGGGTCTCAGGGCATCTAGGGGCAGCATCCTCTGGACTCTCTCTTCAGTGTGGCTCTAAGGACCAATGGCCAGCCTGACACTTGTACTCTGAGGGGTACCCTGTGGCTAGAAGTCATCTCATAAAATGTTCCTGGGCCACCTGACTGGAGGATACCCATCACCAGGGAGCCTGTGCGTTGGACGAAGGGCTACAACCGTCGCCCGTGGTGTCACCAAACCCTGACAGGGGTTGCCACCTACCTCACTCACGATGGTAGACAGGAAGACGTCCTTGCTGTACTCCCAGCCATCCAGGCAGCTCTCCTTCTCCAGCTCCGTCAGGTCCACGTCTACTCCCGGCTCCAGCCCGAGGGCAGAGAAGTTGGCGATGGTGTCCAGTCGATAGCGGCGGCATTTCTGAGGCACCAGCCGCCCGTCCTTCGTCTCCAACGGGATACTGTGGTTGCGCCACGCGCTGGTCAGGTTCACCGTGTCAGGGATCAGGCAACGGTGCTCCGGGGCCGCTGTCAGGAACACAGAGGACAACCCAGTGAAGCCATTGGGGATGATGCTGGCGCTGAGCAGGAAGAAGATGAGGCGCTGGAAGGGGCCCCACTCGCCCAGGAAGGCGGTCGTCTCGTCGTAGTCTGGCATAGGGTCAGCCGCTCGCCGTGTCCTCTGGAGAATCCGAAGTCACTCGGGCGCAGGGGGCGGGGCGCGGCGTGGCAGCGCGCGTGGGCGCGGAGCACCGGTCAGCCGGCTCAGAGGGGCGCGAGGAAGGGCTCCGGAGACCTCCTTCACACCACCCGCCGCTTCAGACGACGAGGCTTCGGGCGTGAGGCCATGGCCGCGGGCTCCGAGGAGCAACGTGGGGCGGGCGGGACGTGGGCTCCGGAGCCGCGTGCGCCTGAGGAGATCCGGGTTGGGGACTCGGGACTGGCTGGGCGGGGCGGAGTGCGGCGCGGGATAGAGCCTGGCTTCAGAATTGGGTGGGCAGCGAGGGAGGCTCGGAGTCCTTCGACCCCTGCCTGGTCGCGCGCCGAGAGCCCTGAGGTGAGGGGGGGCTGGTCTAGTCGACCCCAGAGAGTAGGGCTGGGGGCGGGGCCTCTGTAGCCCCGCCCCAGGAAGCCGCGGGTGGGGAAGGGGGCGGGTCTTCTCAGGCCACACCCTTTAGAAGGGCCCCTGGACCTTTGGGGGAAACGGTGACCGAGCTGGGTATTCACTAGAGATAGGCTTAGAATTTTGAGTGTGGAATAGCCTCCCCTCTCGGCTTTTACTTATGGGTCAGGAAGGCACTGTAAGCCTGCTGGAAATGTTCCTTCTGAGCACCTGAGTTTGATTCCCAGCATGCATCGGTGGCTCACAACCTTCTGTAACTCCAGTTCCAGGGAACCGAGGCCCTTTCTGGCCTTCTGGGCACCAGACACACATTTACTTCACAGATATACATGCAGGCGAAACGCCCCTTCACATAAAATAAAATTATAACAATCATTTTAGAAATTGAGGCAAATTTTGAGACCGTGATCGTGAGGCTGTGGGCAATGAATTTTAATTCCCAGTCTTTATTCTGTTCTTTATGTTTTTAAGAACTCATTCTGCCCTTCATTAAACTGATTTAAGCAAATGTAAAAATTTAGCTTCAAGATTAAGGATCTCAGTTTAGGCTTAAACCAAGATTGGTCATTTTTACAGTTAACTCGGGATGACTGGTAAAAATATCAAAGGGGGGGGGGACCTGCTGTGCTTGGTTGCAGAGGCCTTTAATCCCAGCACTAGGAAGACGGAGGCAGGTGGATCTCTGTGAATTTGAGATCAGCCTGACCTGCATAGTCAGTTCCAGGCCAGCCAGGGCTACACATTGAAACCCTGTCTCAAAACATACACACATCCTCACAACGAAACTCATTATTTTATGCAAATAATATATCCTTAAATATAAAAAAGATAAGTTATAAAAAAAACAACAAATGCTTGATTCTAAAGTAATATTATTGTCAAATGAAGAGAAGTTACATTTATGGTTTTATTTATATAGTTTTGAGGTGGGTCCTACTATCTTTCCCTGGCTTTATCTGCAACTTTGACCACAGATGACCACCCTACCTCATCCTCTCTAGCAACAGGGACAACAAGTGTGCACAGCAGGCATACGTTAGGTCCAGCCTCCCTCGGTTTCGCTATCACATCCTCATGCTCCGTCATCCCTTGGCTAACTGAGCCATCTCCCCAGATCTGCAAAGACTTTTTTGTCTGCTGGTGTTCTGGCCGGGTGACACAACGTGAGTCAGATCCAATGTTGAGCAGGGTTTGCTCATCATCAGCGGACTCTGAGCACATCTTTTTGCTGGTGAAAGACCCCCGCCTCACCCTAAGTTAAACATAGCTAAACACCATTTTGTGAGACACCACTGTGTTGAAAAACTCTATAGGCTAGGTGGGGAACTGGAAAATTACTGAGAAACCCAGCTGTGTCATATCTGCGGTCAGGCTGCCCCAGTCGAGCTAAAAACAGTTTGTGTTAATCACCCTCATGAGATATCTGTAAGATTGTTCCAGTTAAGATAGGAGTCCTAAGGAAAACAACAGGTGGCGGGCCAAGTTAAGGGGGTCATCATGACCGTCTCGACCACCCAGTTCCTGGAATCCTGGTGTCCCTGCCAAACTCTGACTCAAATTGTGGTCTCATTTAAATGTACCAATCAGCTCCCTGTAACCATGCTTCTCGCTTCTGTACCCGCGCTTCTGCTCTAAAACCCTATAAAAGGCCCAGCTTTGCACCCAGAGGGCGCGCAAGTCCTCCGAGTGACTTTGTCGCCCCGGGTACCCGTGTATCAAAATAAACCTCTTGCGGCTTGCATCCGAAGGCTGGTTTCGCTGCTCCTTGGGAAGCGGGGTCTCCCTGTCTAGAGAGGCTCACCGGGAGTCTTTCAATGGGACTCTCTGACTAGAGTCTCTAGCTCAGGGTGGCAACTCCCCATCAAAGACTCGAGACCTGCAGTCCAAACGATGCTTTGGCTACAGCCCCAGATGAGTTAAATTCCAAAGCTGTTCTCTGAATGTGCTGGATCACCTCTACACTTAACCAGGTACACACGGACACACACCCACACACAATCACTGTTATCATCTAATAGTTGTGATAACACAATGAATTTTATTTGGATAACATTTATATGTTTGGCAATGTGTGTTAATCTTCATATGGATTTTGCCAACCCTTGACTAACACGTTGAAAAAAAATCTTACAAACCTATTTCATTGAAGAGTTTAGTGGTCAAGACTGTTTAGAAATGTTTGTTCTTAAAACAAGAAGATCACCTGGAAGAGCGGCCAGAGTTCATGAGAGAGGGTGTATTTCTGTTCCAGTCCTAGTTTCTATTAGTCCCTTTCAGCAGAAAAGGCTTTAATTTCGTTTTGTCTTGTTGAGCAGGGCTGCTGGTAATCCAGACTGGTCTCACACTCCTCATGTAGCCAAGGACGACCTTGAATTCCTGATCCTCCTGGGATTACAGGTGTGCCCAAACACACCCCACTCATCTTACACATCTGTTCTTTGCCAAGTGCCTTGGAAACCTTCTTAGAACGCAGTTATTAGAACCTTGTGGTTTTCTTCTTTGTTCTTTGAGACTGTTGATTTTTTCCCACATCTGAACCTGAAAACAAAACAACCACTGAAGAAAATTAAACACTTAGTATTCCTCTTCTTAAAACTCCAAACTGACATCAGGAAACATTACCCCACTCAACCAATGAAAAGCGTGTGAACTCTAATAAGAAAAAACAAAAACAAACAAACAAAAAACTCCACTGTGTTTGATGATTTAGAGCTACTTTCTTGATTAAACACAATGCCCGCAATCTAAGCTCTTCAGTTTCCCTCAGGAAAGGATAGAGGGGTGGCAGAAAGTTTACGGCAATATGAGTGGACAGTGAAGAATTGTAATGATTAGTTAAACTCATTTCGTTTTCGTGTTTGTTTGTTTGTTTGTTTGTTTGGGACAGGGTTTCTTTGTGTAGCCCTGGCTTTCCTGGAGCTCACTCTGTAGCCAGGCTGGCCTTGAACTCAGAGCTTCGCTTGCCTCTGCCTCCTAAGTAGTGGAACTAAAGACGTGCATGACCACTGCCTAGCGAATAGATGAACTCTTCTTCTTCTTTTTAGCTTTAATTTTTTTTTTAATTTTTTTCTTCACAATTTATTCATTATATATCCCCATCAAGACCCCCTCCCTCAACTCCTCCCAGTCCTACCCTCCCTCCATCTTCCCCCATCCCTTTCCCCTAGTCCACTGAAGGGGGGGGTTGCCAGTATTGCCATCTGCCCATGAAAGACCCCTGTCTCACCCTAAGTTAAACATAGCTAATGCCATTTTGTGAGACACCACTGTTTTGTAAAGGCTAAATGGAAAACTGGAAAATTACTAAGAAACCCCCAGCTGTGTCACCCACTTGGGATATCTGTGGTCAGGCTGCCCCAGTCAAACTAAAAACAGTTTGTGTTAATCACCCTCATGGATATCTGTGAGACTGTCCCAGCTGAGATAGGGAAAAATAAAACAACAGGTGGCGGGCCACGTCAAGGGGTCATCATAACCATTTTGACCACCCAGTTCCCGAAATCTTGGTGTCCCTGCCAAACTTTGACGCAAACCGTGGTCTCATGTAAATGTACCAATCAGCCCCCTGTAACCATGCTTCTCGCTTCTGTACCCGCGCTTCTGCTCTAAAACCCTATAAAAAGCCCAGCTTTCCACCCAGGGGGCGCGCAAGTCCTCCGAGTGACTTTGTCGCCCCAGGTACCCGTGTATCCAATAAAGCCTCTTGCTGTTTGCATCCGAACGCCTGGACTCGTTGATCCTTGGGCAGGGGTCTCTCAGACAAAAGATACCCTCCGGGGGTTTTTCACCCATAGCTTGTTAGATCTCATCAGGACTGCCTGGATCCTCTTTCCATGGCCTGGTAAGGCCACATCACCAGGGGTGAGTGACCAAAGAGCAGTCAACTGAGTTCATGCTAGAGGCAGCCCCTGCTCCCCTCACTCAGAGATCCACATGGAGACTGAGCTGCCAATTGGCCACATCTGAGCAAAGGGTCTATATCCTCTCCATGCATGATCCTTGGTTGGTACATCAGTCTCTGCAGGAGCCCCTGGGCTCAGATCTTTTAGTTTTGTTGGTCTCCTTGTGGGTCTACTGTCCCCTCCATGTCGCTCTATTCCCACCCCTCTCTTCCTCCATAAGACTCCCTGCCCTCTGTCCAAAGTATGGCCCTGAGTCTCAGCATCTGCTTCGATCCCCTGATGGGTGAATCCTCTCAGAGGACCCTGTATAGTAGACTCCCATCCTGTTTCCTCTCTTCTACTGCTTCTGGTGTCTATCCTGTTTGCCATTCTGAATGAGATTTAAGCATCCTCCCTAGGGTCCTCCTTAGTGTTTAGCTTCTTTAGGTCTGTAGATGGCTATCCTATATTATCGGCTAATATCCGCTTATTAGTGAGTTTAGATGAACTCTTATTAAACGCAGGCACCTGTAAAATTCTGTGACAGAGCAGTGTCTAAACATACAGACTTAGCTTTATTATGGTGAGCCACGGCTAACACTTTATCTTACAGAACCCATAGACAGCCATGTGAAATATTTCCATGTACTAAGTGGGAAAACTGAGGGTTGAGGAAAACTTAATTTCCCCAACTTTATGCTGTAAATTTGAAACCTGAAGCCAGGCAGATGCAGTTCAGAATCTTACTTTCTCTCATGCCAAGCTGTGCTGTCACAGAAGGGTGTCTGGTCTTTGCGTCTGGTTCCTGGCACAGAGCTCCTACCTCCCTCGTGGTTCCCTGGGTGATAGGGGGCAATGTGTTGTTTCTGGTTCTCTGAGGGGACACTTAGCTAACCCCAGCATGGGGACTGCTTGCCAGAAGGAAGAAGCCTCGGTTTAGAAGCACAGAGCTTTTTAGTTTTGCTGTCTCAACCTCTGCAGAGCAGAGCAGGGTGGGGGTAGCCTTAAAGGACCAGTCAAGCCCACAGGATGGAGAGTCTGCTAACAGTAGGGTTTGTGGGGGGGGGAATCTTCTGGATCATTGATGCCTCCTTGTCAGGAGAGTAGAGCGCCCCAACCCACAGAGCAGACACCCCACACTCAGGGTCCTTCCAGCACACACCTGTCTGTATCCCCAGTAAGGCAGTGCTGACGGAAAGGGAAGTATTTCCCTAAGGTCTGTGAGGCTTTCCAGCAAATGGTCAAACACAAAGGCGGGAGCCCTGTGGACCCCAGACATCTTTAGCCGAGTGAGGCTGAAGTGAGAGTAGCCTGTGGCCGGCACCTGCAGTTTGAGAAAGGTGTGCTATCGGGCCCTCACACCTGTGGGGTCTGATGATACCTGTAGAGTCAGTATTCAGCTGTAGGATGCCCAGAAGGTCTCAGAAAGATAAAAACACATAAATATCACAGTCCTAAAGACAGTCTAGTCTTTAAAATTTGTGTGCATGTGTGTGTGTGGTGTGTGTATGTAGCTGCATGATGGGTGTTGTCCTCCATTGCTCTTCACCTGAGTTTTTAAGTTGTTTTTTTCACCTTAGATTTTGAGGCGGTGTCTCTCTCTCTGAACCTGGAGCTCACCGATTTGACCAGACTGGCAGGCCAGCAAGTCCTAGGGTCAGCCCTGCCCCTGCCTTTCTGGTCCTGTGATAACAGACATAATGCTGGTTCTTACATGGATGCAAGGTTGTTTATTTTTCCGTAAGCCCAAATAAACTCTTTCTGTGCCAGCTGCCCTTGGTCATGGCATTTAGCCACAGCAACAGAGGATAACGTGTGGAGATTAATTCTCTCCTTCCACTCCGTGGGTTCAAGGAGTAGAACTCACATGCTGGGGCTTGGTGGCAAGCACCCTCGTCCATCGAGCACGTTACTGGCTCCTGTATGTCTTTAAACATATACATGAAGAGTTTGTTTAACGCATATGTTGCCTACTTAGATTCCACCTTCCGCCTACTTAGGAAAAAGTAAAATTTCCTCTCCTTTGCTGGAGAGCCCTCTTCCCTCCAGATCGCAGGAAGCTGGTATATCAGCCCATGTCTACATTTGTGCTGCACACATTTTCCCCTGCTTTATTGACATCTTTGATTTTGTTACTGCTTTTGTTGGTCGGTTGGTTGGTTTGGAGCTGGTTTTCGCTATGCAGGATGACCTAAAACTCTTGATCTCATTGCTCAGTTCACATTTTAAAAAAAAGTTCTCGTAGATGCATGATTTTGTATTTTTTGTTCCTAAATACTCTTTTCTTTCTAGAGTTTATCTTGATGTTTTAAGAAGAATTCAGCTTTTTGTCTTTATTCAAAAATATATAGCTGAAAATTCTTTTTTAAATTTTTAAAAACTTATTTATTTTATTAATCAGTTTCTTCTTCACTTTGTATCCCAGCTGTAGCCCCCTCCCTCGCCCCCTCCCAATTCCACTCTCTCTCCCTCATCTCCTCCCATGCCCCTCCCCCAGTCCACTGATAAGGGAGGTCCTAATTCCCTTCCAGCTGATCCTAGTCTATCAAGTCTCATCAAGATTGGCTGCATTGTCTTCTTCTGTGGCCTGGTAAGGCTGCACCCCACTCAGGTGCAAAGAGCACCTGATCAAAGAGCAGACCGCTGAGTTCATGTCAGAGACAGTCCCTGTTCCCCTTACTAGGGAACCCACTTGGACACTGAGCTGCCACAGGCTACATCTGTGAAGGGGTTCTAGTTTATCTCCATGCATGGTCTTTGGTTGGCATATCAGTCTCACAAAAGACCCCTGTGCCCGAATTTTTTTTCTCTCCTTGTGAAGCTCCTGTCCCCTCCAGATCCTTCTATCTCTTCCTTCTTTCATAAGATTCCCTGCACTCTTCCCAAAGTTTGGCTATGAGTCTCAGCCTCTGCTTTGATACCCTGCAGGATAGAGTCTTTCAGAGGCCCTCTGTGGTAGGCTCCTATCCTATTCCCTATTTTCTTCCTTTTCTGATGTCCATCCCATTTGCTTTTCTGAATGAGGATTGAACATCTTGCCCAGGGTCCTCCTTCTTGCTTAGCTTCTTTTGATGTACAGATTTTAGTATGATTAGACTATATTATATGTCTACTATCCACTTATATGTGTGTATATACCATGTGTGTCTTTCTGCTTCTGGGATACCTCACTCAGGATGATCTCTTCCAGTTCCCACCATTTCTAGCTGAATATTCTAACAGCTATTTACAGGATAACTGAATTTGCCCACTGATTATTTTTACATATGTATGCATGCATGTATATATGGATGATTGGAATTTGAGGGGGTTCATTATGTGACTCAGGATGGTCTTGAACTCCTGGACTCATGTGACCTCCCACCTTTCCATGTGCCCTGACCTTCACAATGGATTTTAAGTTGGTAAGTGACTTGTTTTTTTAAACCATGTTCTGAATTCTCTTATTTTCTCGGGCTTCATCCTGAAGCTCCATCCTGCTCCATGGGTTTCTGTTTCTACGCCGTTGCCCTGCCACTTTAGATAGCCTTGCTCAACAGTAGTCTCAACAGTACCCCTCTGCTGATCTCTCAACACTCTTCAGACCCACGTTAGACACTGTGTTTACTCTTCCAGTCATTCTTACTTTCTTCCAGTCACTTTGCTCCTTACCCTCTCACTTTCTGCATCTGCTCCAAGTTCTCTGGTAGAGTCACTCCAAAACTTTCAGGGAAAAAAAGCGTGATGATTCCAATCAGGACAGTGAGACTGCCCATGAGGATGTAGGGCAGGAGTCTGTTATAAGCACCTGTGAAGCACCGAACAGGAGAACATCGATCAGCTGCGAGCGTGCTCCTGGACTCACGTTGCCAAGGTGCAGACAGGCCATGGGAGCAGATTTAAGCAAACCTCTTCTAGAGGAAGGAAAGTCAGCAAGATACCTTGGGTTATTGCGGAGGGATGCCACAGCCTGCTCCCCTAAAATTATTTACCCCCTGGTTGTACATTAGTGTAGAAAGATTATTAATTAATAATTAATGTTGATTCATATTATTAGTAATGCAGCAGTTACTCTTTAACTGGCTGTTTACCCAAATAACCACACAGAGAGACTCGGATTTATTTAATTAGCCTAGAGCTTATAATACTGAGCAATAATTACTCCATTCTAAACCTCCAAGCTAGCATATCTTCCTCCCATTCTACAAAAGGAGAGGACCAGGAAGCACGAGGAGAAGTGAATCAGACCTAGGAAATGATTAAAAAGCAAATATAACAAGGGAAATCCGAATGGGAGGGAAGCTATACTAGCTTGGGGGTTTAGGATGGAGTAATTAGTGCTAAGGATTGTTCTCTAGGTTAATGAAACAAACCTTAGTTCTCTCTGTGTGGTTATTTGGGTAAATAGCTGGTTAAAGAGTTACTGCTGCATTATTAATAATATGAGTCAATATTAATTATTAATAATCCTTCTGCACATTAGCGCACTCTTAGGTTCTAAGCTATTGCCAACTGTGCATGACATGTTTCTTGGCTACAAGTCTTCACTATCAAATCTTCCTTTGGGTGGAGGTAACTTGACATGGGTGGCGAGAGGACTTAGCTAGGTAGCAGAGGATGACTTTGAACATCTGGTTTTCTTGCCCTTACCTCTGTGACTCCATCCATGGTTTAAGCAATGCTGGGGCTCAAGCCCAAGGCTTTGTGCTTGCTTAGTAGGCAAGACCATACTGACTGAGCACATGCTGGGCCCTAGCCTGCTCCTCTTTATGGGGCTACTGAGAGAGAAGAACAAGAACCCTCATTGTTCTGCTTCTCTGCACACAGAGAGGATAGAAAAACAATACACCCATGTATGTAATACTTTTTTTTTTTCCCCGTTAAGGAAAACACTGCTCTTGGGGCTTCTCTGTGGCCTTGTGTTGCTAAAAGGAACAGCTTCTTAGACTCAGGGCTCTTTTTTGGGATCTGCTTCTCGTGAACCAGTGGTCCAGCCCTGGGTCGTCTAAGTGTGGCTGAGAAGTCTAAGGAGACATGGCTTCCTCCTATACAGCCTGCTGTCACGGTGTGCTCAGGGCCGTTGTGCTCAGAGCAGCTGTGGAGGGTGTGTTAGAATTAGGAAAATGTGTTTCTTTCTCTGTGTGGACTTAGAGTGTACCTTTTCCAAGAATTCATCTCTGAGGTATGCACACTTGCATGTAAGCACACATGTGTGTTTGAACTAGTAGGTAACCAACATATAAGGAAGAAAAATAAGGAGGTGTGTTCATTCCAGTCAAGTGCTAATGAAGCCCAGGCTCAGACACTGAACAACATCCCACTAAAGCCCCTTTGCATATTACTTAAGCCTGGTAAATTTGATTCTACAAAAACTAAAAATTTCTGCCTTGCCAAAAAACAAAAAACAAAAAACAAAAAAACAAAAAACAAACATAAAGTGAAATGTAAATGATTATTTAGAAAATATTTATAAAATGTGTAGAGAAGGCTAACAGCTAACTTCCTTGCACTATAAAGAACTCATATATATGTGTGTGTGTGTACACACACACACACACACACACACATACACACACACACATACATCCCAAAGAAAATTTGAGCCTAGCCACTGAACCACTAAGGAGGACTCAGCAGCACCCCTGAGCCCCGTTCATCCTTGCACTGTGTCTGTCTCCCTGCTCTCACAGCCCTTCCAAAGTCAGGTTCCAGCAAGAACAAGAAATCCTAATTCATGTCCACTAGTTAGAACCTCTGCTCTTTCCACCCCTTCCAGTTCACACCAAGGATGCTATCCACAGAGGAATTCAGGCCTAAAGAGCTGGTTCAGTGGTTAAGAGCTCTTGGTGCTCTCGCCAAGGGTCCAAGTTCCATTCACAGCACCCACATGGTGGCTGATACCTTCTACAACTTCAGATATTCTCTTCTGACCTCCCTGGACACCAGGTACAAAAGTGCTACACTCACATTCAGATAAAATAGTGTTATAAAAAAATACAAAACTTGTTAAATCTAATGAGAGAGAGAGAATCCAACAGAGACACAGGAGAAGACCCAAGGAGTCATTGAGAATGATTACGAAAAGAAACCAGTGAGGGCTTTAAAAAGAAGTGTGCCTGCATTGGGGCTGAGCAGCCAGAGCATGGAGAGGGATTCAGCTGTAGTATGATCAGCACAGGACCCAAACCAACTCCTCACATGAAGGGACTGCCCAAAGGAGGTCATACATACAACGCACATACACCCACATGCAAAATACACACAGAATTAAAAAAATAATAATTTAAAGACGGAACAAGAAGCATCTCACCCAGGTAAGCGAAGTAGGGAGCAATGATGCTGCCCACCCGAGAGGCCATGGAGGCGATGCCCACGGCCATGTTCCTGACCAGGGTTGGGTAGAGCTCTGCGGTGAAGACGTACAGCATGGAGAAGGCAGAGGTGACCCCAAATTTTCCCAGCATCACCAGGCCAATGGACACGAAGCTATAATCTGGAAAAGAGGCTCGTTTCAAACAGGGCCCTCCTAGAATCAACACCTAATTATTTTATTATCCTTACTGCTGTCAAACGGTAGTTCACACACAAAGCACTGCCAGACAAGATGGTTGAAGATGGAAGGTCATGGGTGGCCTTGGACTTTTCATTACTTTTAGTTTTGGATTGTTAATGCATCCTGTGACCCCCGTACGTGTTGTTACAAGTGTTTCATAGTGAGTTGTTAGATGTTAAACACAGTTAAATCTGATTTGTAAAGAGAGGGGGCCAGTCATTTCCTTCCTGATTTATTATTAAGAAATATGGTTCTATTTCGGCTCAGTGGCGCATGCTTTAAAAAAAAATCTTTTTCTTTTCTTTTTTTTTTTTTTTTTTTGGTGTGATGTGCTCGTGTATATACTGTTTGCATGTTTTTGCCTGTGTGTAGCCATGCAAGGCTAGAACCACAGGCGAACCATCGTGCCGGCCCAGCGTTTACGTGGGTTGGGGGATCTGCACTCCGCTCCTCATGCACTTTAACCACTGAGCCATCCCCCCAGCTCCTGGTGCATGCTAACGATCCCAGCTATTAATACGTGACTGACAGAGGCAGGGAAGTTACAGATGCAAGGCTAGCCTAGGCTATGTAATGAGTTCAAGGTCAGGCTGGGTCACTTAGCAAGACCTTGCTTCTACATAAAAATAAAGGGTTGGGGATATGGCTCCATGGTAGGGAGGTCTTGGCTCGTGCAAGACCCTGGGTTTAAGCCTTAGTACTGCAGAGGTTAAAAAGTTAAAGACAAATAGAAACAGTGTTATCTGTATGTTACAATGTATTCATAATATATCAAACTTGTAGTTTAACAATAGGAGAAAGTCAGACACAATAGGAAAAGGAAATGTGTGCCCCTTTGTGTTCTTTTTAGCTTTGGAGTTTTTTGTTATTGTTTAGTCTTTCTGCACCATCCCCACATTTATTAGTTCCTGGTTTCTGTCTATGGGCAAGTGTGTGTCAGAGCACGTGTGTGGGGTCAGTCCTCTCCTTTCAGGTTCCAAAGAGGGAAGCTGGGGTCTTAGGCTTGGTGAAAAGCACCTTTACCCACTGTTTGCACTGCCTTGCTGTTTTTGTTTTGAGACAGTGGCTTACACAGCTGAGGCTGGCTTTGAACTGGTCTTCGTGCCTCCACCTCCCAGGCGCTGAGGTTATAGGGATGGGCCACCATACCCTGCTGAGACAGTTGTTGGGAACACAGGACATGTCATAGTCAGCCTTCTTCTGCCTATCTGACTGATGACGGTCGGGGGTCATCGGTACAGGGGGGTAGTGACCTGTGCCGATGCTCTAGGCCATTAATGCAGCCAGCTTTTCTGGGATGCTGTTCGCCTGGGCTGACTTCTTACCTTCAGGCACAACTTGGATCAAGAGAAGCACACCTCCTCCCCAGAGCAGCACCCCGGCTATGATATATCTCCGAGGCAGGGTTCGAAGGAGCAGCCAGGCTGTGAAATAAGCTGGAACTTCAATCAGGCCAGAGAGGAAGCAGTTCAGGTAGACATCTCCATGTAAGTTAGGAACATTGAGAGACAGAGCAAAGTAACCCACTGAAGTTAGCATCCTGAAAGAAAGACAAATGATCCAATCACAAAAAGATGGCCACGGCCACGAGTTGGTCTAGGTCCTGTGTCCTCTAGGTGAGCACTAGCTATGTGGGACTATTTGAATGGAACTACATTAAAGTGAGATTACAAGTTCAGTTTCTCAGTTGGAACGGCACTTCATGTGCTTAGTAGCTGCATAAGTCTGGAGGCTACTGTGATGGACAAATGGATCCCAAACATTTCTGTCTCTCAGAAAGTGCTGTGGAACAATGGCGTTCTGAACAAACCACTAGTCAACAGTGCGGACATCTGAGCATGACTGGAGAACACTCATCTCTGAAGGAGGCTTTCAGAGACACGGTGGGTCTCTGGCTACTAGACCAGGGACACAGGACTAATCCAGAACAAACAAACAAACAAGCCAGCTCATGAAAAAGGAAACGTTATTGCTGTGGTGATTCGGTGATGCTCACGTGCCTGTGTAAGAGCAGCATGGATGGGGCTAGGGGTCGGTGATGACTGGCTCCCTAGTGCCATTGATTGGAATACATTGCATGAGGGATGTGTGCAGACAGCTAAGAAGAAGACAGCTGACAGAGGGTATGGGCCAGGATATTCCACACTGATATTTCTCTAATTGTAAAACAGCGTGGTTTTAAAATAGCGTCTGCCAGTTCTGGTACTCAGTCTCTCTGTGGGGTGTGTGTGTGTGTGTGTGTGTGTGTGTGTGTGTGTGTGTGTTGTTATTTATGGGGTAGTTATTATTGTTATTATTTTTGTCCTTATTTCTTTGAAGATTTGTTACTAATCTAGTTAATAAGCTCAGGTCATTACTTTTGTGTCTTAAACTCATGTGGAGACAGGTGACATGAACTCCACTGTTCAGTTCCGGGAGGCCGGTGGGGAGACTTAACACTTCTGCCTTGGTCCCCAGGGGCATCTGCAGCCTCAAGCCCATCACCTTCCACATGGTGGGGTCCCCATACTGCAGACTTACTGTTACCTGTAACTGTCCCCGTATTTAGTCCCACCAATCAATTGACCTGAGACATGACTACAGAGCTCAGAGCTCCATGGTTCTCCTTTAGCTGTGGGGGAGCCTAGGCTTTGTCGCTCTCCTCTGAGCTAGAGGAGATCAGCTGCCCCCTTGGGTGCCCCGTGAATGCACACCCCGCGCACCCTTTGCTTACCACAGCGTCACAGACATCACCGTTATCGTGGCAATGTTCCAAGTCTTGAACAGGTCCAGAATGAAGACCTTCTGTTGCTTCAAGGAGTTCAGCTCCTGCAGCTAAAACAACATAAATAAAACACGAGGAAGAGGCAGGTAGGAAGGACCGATGGGAAAAACATGGGCACACAGCTCTTTTTTAAAAATTTAATTTAGCCGGGCACGGCGGTGCACACCTTGAAATCCCAGCACTTGAGAAGGCAGAAGCAGGCGGATCTCTGTGAGTTCAAGGCCAGCCTGGTCTACAAAGAGAGTTCCAGGACAGCCAGGGCTACACAGAGAAGCCCTGTCAATTCCCTGGGGACCTCAGCATCTCCTTCCTGTGTGACCATTTTCCTTCAGATCAACTCCTCTTGCCTCCTTCAGCTAGTGTGGGAGCCATGTCTTAGCCTTCTTGTCTCCTCTAAGAGCCAGCACATGACAGACACCCCAAAGTCCTCACCCTTACAATGTGCAGCAAAACCCATGGTATATCAGCTTTCCTCATGGTCACCTCCACTCAAGAAGGGGAGCCTTGTGCCTGTGCCCTCAACTACTGAGGCCTTGGACATGCCAGACACACCCACTGAAGACAAGTACCGCTTCCCTAGCAGGTTTTGGTGTAATTCGGGATACAATGGGAACTGAGGATTGACCAACCCTCAGACACACTTTTTCCAGGTACGGTGGGTAGCTTAAAAACCATCCGTACGTACCCTTGTAATGGTTAGGCACACATGCCAACCCAAAGTTGGGAACTTGCAAAAAGAAAAGATAGCCCGTTCAACAGATGGTGCGGCAAACTGGATAGCCACCTGTGCAGAGGGAAATCACATTCCTATCTTCCACCTATTCAAAAATCAACTCAAAATGGATCAAAGGTCTTAGTTAAAAACCCCAAACGCTAAAACTTCCAGAAGAGAACATAAGGAATACTCGTCAAGACATTGGGGTTAGGAAGACTTTTCAAGAGTCTCTCCATCACAGGAAAAGCCCAAGTACCAGCAGCTAGGACAACAAAAAATTAAGTTTCCACACAGCAAAGGAAACATTTACAGAGCAACAGCTCAGTGAATGGGAGAAGTTCTTTGTCAGCAGATATACAGAATTCACAAAGAATCACACCAGTTAATTACTAAGAGGCTAAAACTGCCAACCAACAACTGGGCATATGAATTGGATGGACAGAGAGAAATAAAGAAAAGAAAGGAAAGAAAGTAAGAGAAAGAAAGAAAGAATGAGGAAGAAAGAAAAAAGAAAGAAAGGCAAATGTCTAACATTGTTCCTAATTTATAAATAGTCCTTTAGGTAGATTTTTTTTCAGAAAGAGAGATGTTACTCAGGCTGGCCCTAAGTGCCTGGGCTTAGGAAGCAAGCCCTCCGGCTTTCACCTCCTGAGAAGGGTGGACGACAGGACGCACCGGGCCTCCCAAGGTTTACTCCTGACACAGCCGTCATGACCGCAGCCCAGTGCCTAGCGCATCGCCTGGTGCACTGCGGGAACCTAACAGAGCATTCCATTAAGTTCCATAAAAGAAAGGCCGCAGAGCTGATCGCAAAAGGGACGCCTACACACACTCACTCACCTCCCGAGGATCGAATATCACTGCTGGCGCCACAATGCTGTTCATCTTTGCAGCTTTCTGGATGATGTGCTCTGCCTCATCGAATCTCCTCTGGGAAATCAGCCACCGGGGAGATTCTGGAATAAACCTAGAATTCATTTGCAGTGGTTTGTAATTTTTCATAGCCATAGGATTTGGTGTTAGCAAATACATATAGCAAAATGTTAATCAGCACATAAACTATATTTCTAAGATACAGTGTGACATTTCAATCAATTTATATCAAATCTCCAGGCGAGCTTGTAATGAGTTTGCAGGTTGAGTCAACCTAGGTGGGAAGGCACAGCCTAATGTGGCCTGAATAAAAAGAGAAGGGGAGCTGAGCACCAGCCATCATCGCTCTCCGCTTCCTGCCATGGCTTCCTCGAAGTGATGGACTGTACCCCTAAACTCTGAGCCAGGGCAAACCCTTCCTACTTGAGGTGGTTTTGTCAGGACTTTTGAGACAGCAACAGGGAAACTAACTACCACAGAGGTTCTCTTGGGCACAGAGTTGTGTGGAGCCCGGCCTGCCGTTTCTTATTGACCCTCATCCTGAGTTCCAGAGGAAACTTCCAGATAAATCAGCACAATATCTATCTCTTACAAAGCTGTCTTCCAAGGGCCAGTAGGTCAAGAGCCCTGGCTGCTTCTGCAGAAGACCTGGGTTCAATTCCTCGCACCCACATGGTGGCTAACAGGTGTCTGTAATTCCAGCTCCAAGGGATCCGAGGCCCTCTAATGGCTGTCCCACACACTGCATGAACATGGTACACAGACACATGCAGACAAAACACCCACATACATAAAATTTAAGAAAAATTAAGTTATCTTTCAAACTCCAGTAAAATAAGAAATAAAGCAAAACAAGTCAGAAAAGATATTTTTTCCCCCTGAATACAAACTCCACTTGAATCTTCATACACACTTTACTCTAAAATATTTCTGCTGGTAAAAACCACAGCAGCCTGGGAGGTAAAAGCAAGTAGAGCTTGGAGGAGGCCAGCTGAGCCAAGGGGACACTTGTCAGCTCCCGTGGCTGCATGACAGCTGCAGAAAAGATGAAGGTCTTTCTAAGTCCATTTCCCGGGCAGGTGTCACAGGCCAACCCAGAGGGCTAAACTTCGAATTCCACAAGCTGACCAAAACCACCTTTATTAGCCTAGTCATGTAATTAGGGTTATTTCTAGAAGAGTGGATTTTGGTAAAACAAAATAAAACCAAGATGAATTAGAGACAGAGGAAATGAATAACAGCCAGGAATCTCCTTTTGTCTTGTTTAAATAAGAAAAAGTAAAGAAGGGAAATTCTGAAGAGGGGGCTGTGGCTAGAACTTTATTTTTATTTTTTTTAAAATCTGGTCTCTTCCCAAAGCCTCCAGTTATCCCATGGTAAGACTTAGCAGCGAATCTCCAAACTTTGATATTCCTACAACTGCCATTGGAAAACTAGGTTGGGGAACCATTTGAGGGCGTTCAGCTCGGTGACATACCACTCGCTTTCCCAGAATGTGCGGGGCCCTAGGTTCACTCTCCCTCTTAGAAAGAATGCTCCCATTTGGCAAGCTACCATAGGAGAAAAAAAACACCTCCTTTACAGCTTATTTGGGGAGTTGGGAATATAACTCAGGGTATGCTTGCCTAGCATGCAAAGTTCAGGGCTCATCCCCAACATTGCATAAGCCCCGTGTGCTGGCAAACACAAGGAGAAGAAGTACAAGGCCATCCTTAGCTCATATTGAGGAGTCCAGGGCAGGCCAAGAATAACGGGAGACTGCCGAAAAACAATTATCTTTTTTTTCCAGGACAACACACACACACACACACACACACACACACACACACACACACACACAC